GGAGGGCTCAAATTACCGCTGACTCCGCGGCTGGATTTAAACACGGGGTGGGGGTCTGGCAGGCCGACGGACGGTGGCCAGTGTGCGTGCTTGTGTTTCCAATTGGCAAATTGGTCTCTCTCCGGGCTGGAAATGTGGACATGAAGGAGGGGTCTGGGGGCCGGCGGCGAGAGGGGCTGCGTCTTGCCCCGGAGCGCCCAGGTGTTGCGCCCGGGGGCGTTGTGCACGGCGCCCGTGGAGTGTGCGCCCAGGATTTGCTTGTGCGCTCAGGTGTGGGATGCCCTCACGCACAGTAACAAGCCCAGAACTTAAACCCAAACATATAGCTTTGCAGGTACATGAAGCTACACATGCTTTCCCCGGCCTTAAAACACGCACGTATTTTCCAAAATCTTAAGAAAGCTTGTCCTGAGCGGTAAAGCTGCACGTCCCGACGTTTCACGCACAGCCGAATCGTGCACACGCTTGCCCAGATGTGCGTTTTACCCGAGGCTGGCTCTCCAGCTCGCTCCGTAACTGCACTGCCCCAGCGTTGTGCAGGGCTCGGAGCTGTGGCTGCTGCACACAAACCTTAACTAGGTTTCCTCCAGTTTTACACACCCAGACTCGTGAACACCTCCCCGAACTTAAACATTCCCCTTTCCTCCGCTGCCTTCCTCTTTCATCAGCATTCACATCTACCTGTTCAAAGGCACTTCCTGGAGCCTTAAACATCCTCCTCATTGAGGCTTTCACCCGTTCAAGATCTAGATAGGCTTTCCCGTGCAGCAAACGGCAAATCAGAGGTATGAGGCGCAGCTGAGTTGCGCAAACACTTGCCCGGATAGGAAATTTCCTTTAGGATTGCCCTTAGGCCTAGCCCTTGACCTGCCCATTCTGCTGTTGGAGGTATTCCTGGGTTTAGGCAGGCATCCCAGGTCTTTACACTCCAGTCCAAAACCTCTTTTAAGTCCTGCCGTCATCCTGCCCTCCTAGATAAACAGACTTGAAACACCTGTTCTTAGAGCTCGCGCTGACCCACTGGGTCCTCAGGTTTGTTCAGCTGGGTGCTTTCACTACGTTTTCCCTGAGTCCTGTGTCCCAGCTGTGGTGCCGGCAGACGGAGGGCTTCAATACCCATTCTCCATCTCAGACACACTCTAGCCTTGAACACACACACCCTGTTCTGTACTCAGGCTTCCTCCCTCATCTCCTGCCATTGCCCAGATCCCAGAACCACCTGCCCCGATGGAGAGCATGCTTGCTCAGGTGTTTTTTCCTTTTTTAAGCTCCCCTCCAAAATAAAACTTTCCCTGCCTATCGTTACTCTAGCACAGAAGACATCTGTGTACTTTATAGGAAAGTTGGAAATGCCAATAAGATGAAAGTAGCAACCAACCAATAGGATTTTATTGACTTACTTGTTTTGGTGCTTGGAGACACTTAGTAGTGAGCTTTTTCATTGGACCCCTGCTGCCAGGCTGTTCCGAACCCTTCACGTATTTGCTCTGAGATGTTTTTGGTTTTTAAAAAAGGTGGCTGGGAGGGTCCTCTCTGCGTAGAATGTGTAGCTTTTCTTGGCTTTATTGCTAGAATATTCTGGTGTTCTGCAAATGTTCTTGAGATGTTGTGGTTGAGACCCCTCCAGGTGTTGTCACTGCCTCCTCCACACATCTCCCCACCTCCCTGGATGGTTCTGTACTGTATGTGCTTCTGGTCTCCACGCCTCCGCCTCCCTGGGGTCAGCCTGACATGGCTGCAACCTGGAGTGCGGGAGGGAGGGA